AATGTTGAGAGCTTATGTAATGTAATTGATATTTAAAAAGTTTTTAACAGTTGTGTGACAGAAGAACAATTTGATCTTTCTTAGTGGCTCTTTCTTTTAATGTTGGATGATATTTTGTAAACTGAGTTTAAATTTATAATGAATTTGATTATATTTTATATGATCTTCCGTACGATCGCCTGTTCCCGCCCCGTTATCGACGGGCTAGCCGGGCCGGGTCGTGACAAAAACTAACCAAAAAGTTTCAAACAAAAATCTTTGGCATCTCTTTTTTTTTTTTGAAAATCTCTAAGAATAAATTTGGCATAACCATCTTTCAGAGAAATTATGATCTAGATCTTATAAAAGAAATTGACTTTACTTTAAACAAGCCTAATGACACTACGATTGATCCAAACAAAAAATTGAGTAATGTTCACACCAATTCTCTAGTTAATAGAGGTAGATGTCAAAGGTTGATGAGGAAATTCATTTATTTAGCTCATATCATACCTAACATAGCCTTTCATGCCAAATTGGTAAGTCATTTTAAGCATGCCAATTTCAAAGCACACATTTTTTTTTCACTTTCAAAGCACACATGCTATTAGGCTTCTTAAAAACTTAAAAAAGAAAGTCGTCAATGGGCTTTTCTTTAAGAAATGAGAATCCAAAATTATCTAAATTTATACAGGAGTTCATTAGGCTGGGTCTATAGTGGATAGAAGATCTACTTCAAAATATTTTAACTATGTGAGGGCCAATCATGTAACCAGGATGAGAAAACAAAAACGTTGCGACAAAGTAGTAGCACTGATATAGAACTCAAATCATTGGCCAGTGGATTGGCAAAATAATCCAACAAAAGCTACTCTTAGAAAAACTTCAAGGAACTATCAAAACTCCCATGATAGTATATTGTAACAATAAGGATGCCATTAGCATAGCACACAATCTTATCCATCATGATTGGAGCAAACATTTGATGATAGATCAAAAATTCATTAAACAAAGAAAAAATTTAAAGCAGAGATTTATGTGTGATAGAACTGCTAACGTCTTGACCAAAAATTAGCTGAAGGCCTATTTGAAAAATTAATTGACAGGCTCAATTTGTTGGACGTTTACAAAACAACAAAAAGGGAGTGTTGAATGTTGCAACAGCCTACCCCCTTACCCTCTTCCAATTATGACATGAAAGCTCATGGGCATCTTTGAAAGTTAGCAGACCAACGACAATAAGTATGCTTTTGTTAGCTTTCAAGAAGGAATGACGGTCCATATATTGCATATATTGCTTAGGTGGAGGATACAGTTCCTACTTTATTGGAAGGCAAGAATCCAAGAACCGTTGCAGTGGACATTGAGGTTTGTACTTAATATTAGAATATATTTATTTCTTCCCAACATTTTCTCATTGTAAACCTTTATATAAGGGGTCAATTTCTACCAATAAGGGACATGGAGAATTCCACTTTTTTTTTCTTTTTTCCTATTTCTCGTCTACATCATTCATACAATAGACAATGTTAAATTTCCTACATCTATATCTCACATCATAAGAATAATCAAGCTCAATATATTACATCTGCCACGTATAAAGAAAGTTCCATTACTATTCATAAGGATTATAAAGGAAAGTCAATTGATATAGCAATTGGTTTATAATTCATACAAAAGATAATTTAAAATATCATCAAATTAGTTATATTGTGTAAATGAATGTCCTAGTAGAAATTCATGTGTTGAGGTGAAAGAATTTGATAGAGGAGTGAAATTCACAAATTTGATAATGAAATAAGTGAGTTTGAAGATGCTTTAACGAGACTCTTTAATGTTATGTTATACTATCATCACAACTAATATTAAATCTCATTGGGAAAAAGTTATATTTCAAACTTATTTTAAACATGATGATAAACTATATAAGCTTATCATTTGTATCTTTATCTATTTTGAGTTTTCTTAAACATTACTAATATGAATTAGTTATAAATCATCATAAGAGTTTAATAACTTATCTAATGTACATGAAAACATTCACAAACATGGACTATCAATTATGTGCCTCGTTTGGTTCAATAAATTTTAAGATTATCCATCTCAACCTTCTGTGTCAATTAGATGTTGGATTTTTTCGAGTGCTTTGTAAGTGTAATAAGCACATTCCAAGGTAAATTTTCTTCTTATAGCAGAATGAATCTTAGATTTTTTTTATTAGTGAACTATTTCCATGATTCTTTACTTTTAAATATTTTGTTATTAGATTTATAGGCGTTTCTATTTTTAGTCAAACACATTACCACTAGGTTTCAATGAATGCAAAAAATTTGAATAGCCTTCTCATTTCTTACTGACTTCCTTGATTTTGTAAATCATTGCAGTATCAATTTTTGTGCGATTTCTCACAACTTAAGTTTACATCAAAAGAAAATAAGTCTTGGGCTGGTCCTTGAAATTATGAATTTTAAATCTATTATATCATCAAGTTTCCATTAGAAATCTTAGGCCCTTCAGCACCTTCCATCATAAGACCATGCAACTTATTGAGGATTTCAATGAAATATTCTTATAAATAGAGCTACTCATGCATGATAAAAATATATATGATTAAAGATGACTATCTTTTCAAGATATCTCATATATAAATTTCTGGGTCAGTTTTTAAGAGATATTCTTATACTTTAATTACATGTTGGTAGTATTGTAGGCCATTTTAGTCTAGAAAAAATAAAGTTGTGATTGAGAAAGTATATTATTTGTCATGTTAAAAAAAGGATGGAGCACAAATAATTTCATAATGTCGAATCTATTAAACAAGGAAAAAGAAGCAATATTGGGTTATGCTCGTTTTTGTCTGCTCTATATAAATATTGGAAGTATGTTTATATGAATTTTGCATTAAGATTGTCACAAAATTTTATGAGACGCAATTCTTATCTTGTCAATATATATCAAGTTTCTAAAATGACTCATTTTATTTCATATAATAAAATTGTTGTTGCTCCTCACATATAGCCAAGTTATACCTTAATGAAGTTCAACAAGTTATTGAACTGTATGGTTTACTTAAAATGAATGTATTCGATATATATGTGAAAATAATGAGTTATTAGTGAAAATCTCCATAAAAAAAAAAGGAAACTAAAATAAAATTTTCAACTACTTATACCCACAAACTATCAAACATATTGAAGTAATAAATACAAGTTTAGGTGATTTTATACAATATCTAACCAAAGTATGCATTTGTTTGAGTTGGGAGGAATTGATATTATCTATGGTTAAGCTTGCATAGAATTGATTAATTGATAGATCTATAGACATATGTCCAATTAAAATAGTCAGTCTTTCAAACTAGAAAACCTATCAGTCTAGTTGGACTTCCTATCTAGACTAAGTGAATTTAAACAATCATTTACGCATTACTTGCCTAAAGATATTCACAAAAAACAAGTAGTTAATATTTAAAGATATTCATAGAAAAGAAATTGTTAATAACAACAAATAAATTCATTCAAAACCGGATGATAGAGTAATGATTCATCTAAACACTTAAAAAGGCCTCTTATAAAAACCCTTACAAAATTAGGAGCTAAGAAATTAAGAACATAAAAATCATACAATGCATCATGATTAATGCTTATAAATTAAAAGTTCCAAAAGCATTTATAACATTAGAACAGTTGCAATGTATTTAGGACTTTCAATCGTGGTCCTACTTTGAACTCTTTATCTTTCTATCTAGTCTTTCATGCTTCACACAATCATAAAATTGTATCAAATGCGATATTAAATGACGGATATCGAAGTTACCTTGTGTACTAGCATGATATGCATGCATGTGATCATGGATTTACTCTATAGGAAGCACAAAAATTATCCCTACACCTACTTGAAGATTATTAGTCGAAAATTTTATCAAAACCAATTTTTTCCATGCCGAACAGAATTAACGCAAATTTTGATATTTATAATAATCAGAAATGAATGTTTCATGCGTTAAGAAGAATGAAAAATAGATTTTTATATTAGATCTTGGAAACTTCTGGCCAAAATTATTAACTTGAAGTTGAAACAATTGACTACAAGTGTTGGAACTATTGCTTTGCAGCTTAAATGGTTCAATAAGATGTATATCCTTTCCTTGAAGGGTTATTGCTATTTTATGCTTACAATTTAACTCTTATGATCGAGTTTTTGGATTTTTTTGTTTGGGATTAAATTTAGAGCCTTCTGCGATTGAATGGTTTAAGGTGGTGCATAAGGCCTTTTGTGGGACATAATCTTACGTGGTTATAAATGGCAACTTAAAATCAAGGCTACCAGATTTATTATAACTGAGCTATATGGATTTTGGGATTACAGGGATATCAATTTTTATGTTTGGATATTTTTAATGCAAGCAAAAAGGATTTATGATTATAAAAAAAGAATCTAAGGCATGAAAAGAACAACCAATTAATTTTAAAACAAATTCATAATTGAATATGTAATTCTAGCATACTTCTACAAGAAACGGAAAATTTTTAATATATATTATCTCCATATCCAAATGACCAGCTTAATTTGGTGACTTATATTCATTTTACTTCAAGTATATTCTATAAATTCTTATAATTGGCTATGCATGCATAATTAATATTTCATCATATTTGATCGAACCTAAAATTCTAAGATAACATGATTTTCAATTGATTTATGATTACAAATTTCTACAAATTATTCATTGTGAATGGCTGCTTAATTATCATTTACATTACTTTCTTTGTGTTTTCAGTTTTCATATTAGTAGCAAAAATTATCTAGATTAAGAGTTTGTGATCTATAAATTTATGTGTGTTTGCATGATTTTGTGAGCATTATAACAGATTTATATTAGCAAAACCTAGACCATGAAAATGCCCAACAGGTATAACTAAAAGGAATAATGCTCTCAGCAGCCAAATCAACATGCATAGAATATCCATTTATCAGTGTAACAAAACGGTCAAATGGATAAGAAATAACATTGGAATTACCTTCCAGGAAGGAGCTGCGAAGTGTTAGTTGGAACTTTAGAACTACCAAGACGTTTTGCCCTATTATCTTGCTCTTTATCTACTCGCATGGAAGCAACCTCCTTCTCCATGGCAGCCACCTCTCTTCTCATTTTCTTGGCCTCTACTTCCATTGCCTTTGTTAATGTATCTACTTTCTTTGCCAGCATCTGCAAGTAGAACTCCAAATTCAAAATGCCGTAGAATATACAATGAATATTAATCACTCTAGCTGCGATGTATTTACCTCAATGGCATCATCTTTGTCCTTCAGGCTTTGGTCTTTCTCATAGCATGCTTTTCTGAGAGTGATCACCTCCTTCTGTAGCATATCATACAACAATCCAGACACAGAGTCATCTGCATCTTCAGTGCGAAGCTCATCAGGTTTCTCCTCTAAACTATCCTTCCAATTGCTACGTGCATCACCATCCCTCGTCTCATCAGTAGATTTGTTGTGTGAATAATTAATCCCATTGGCAAGGACTTTATTGCGATCATATGACCTACTTCCGCCATCAAAGGACTTTGACGTTCCTTTTGCATGCTTCAACACCATGCTAGAACCACTTGAGAGGGAAGATCTAAACTGGAAGGATGAAGTCCTCCTAGTTAGAAGACCATTAGGGGAAGCCTTTGACATATTATCAGCACCTCCCAATGATTGTCTGCGTGAAGGGCCATTGCTTACGCTCCTGCCCTCCACACTGGTACGATTAACACCACTAGAAGACATTCTCAGACCCTCTTCAAGTACTTTCAGCCGCAACTGATATTTTTCCTAAGGAAATTAAAACATATATTTTTTTAAAATCATTTCTTTATTCATATATGTTTCCTTGAGCAACTACTAGCAAAAAGGTAAAAGTTTAAGAATGCACAGGAAGGGTAGAGAAAGAAAGAACACCTTCAGCTGAGATTCATATTTAGCAGTGCGTTCTGCTATAGAAAGCTTATCTCGTAGCTGTTGCATTTCTCCCTGGAAGAAAGTTGATAGATTATTACAATTACTCACCAAAAATCACACCAAAACAACCATAAGAAAGAAAGAAAATCCAAATTCAAAGATAAACTAAGTTTCATAGGATAATTGGAAAATAAGATCATGCAAACAAAGAGCTAGTAAAACACTTACTTGCATAAATCGCCGGTCCTCAAGCCACTGCTTAACAGGCATTACTTTGTCATTTGCATCTTTCCATTCATTTGCAACAACTACTGCAACCCTGTTAGCAGAAACCTTTGCACGTGACAGCTCTCTATCAAGAGTCTTCATCTCATCCTAGTAGAAGTAATTCATTATTTTTATAAAATGGAATGTGCGGGAAAAAAAAAACAAAATCATCTAAGATATTACAAAATAAATATAGGAATCAGTAGATTCCTGAACTACTGAAGTTAGTTTTAAAAAGTACATTCATCTCTTGAACTTTTCGCTGGTAATCTCTCACAGCATTTGCTGCAGCACCACCCGCAAGAACAGCTTCCTCTAGCTCCCGTACAGTCTGGCTAAGCTTTTCGACCTCCGCAACCTTTTGTCGATGCATTTTATCCAAGATCTTATTTTCTTCCTAAAAATATGGGACACATGGGAAACAACAACTCAAAAAGTAAAACATTTTATTCAGAAATTAAGCAATTAAAAAGCTGTTTGTTCATGTTACCTGGCAGATCTCAATCTGCTTAACTAATTCTTGATTTTTGTTCTGTAAATCATCTACCATAGAAGCCTTTGCCAATGCAATTTCAACAGTTCTTTCTGCTTCAAGCAGTGCAGCTTCCTTTGATTTGGTTAGGCGATCTAACGCCCTATTGTCATCTTGCAGCTTAGCGATCTACAGAAGGAAAGTAAAAAACCAAAGCCGTCATGCCGGTTGACTATTACCAATAAAATTAAGCAGAAAACGGCACTAACGGGTTCCTGACTATTAATCAACCAGTTAGCATCAATCCTTAAATTCTATATACTTAGATGGGGGACCAGCTCGGTAGCAGATAGAAGAAGACATTAACTTAAACCTACCAAAATAAAATAACCAACTACGACATCATCTTAAATTAATCAAAGAGAAAATATCCCCTCCCCCCCCCCCCCCCAACTACGACATCATCTTAAATCCAACTTTGCTTAACATGGGGGTTTCAAAAGAAATCCCTTGATTAACAATAAGAGTAGTCACTATTACGATCTCTCACACATACTCATCAATACGGCTAAGCGAAGAAACTTTCATCACTTTAAATGACGTCACGATCGAGGAGAAGTTAGAAGGAAAAAAGGGTCGGAAGATAGTTCACCTTCGTCAAGTTTCTAATCTTGATGTAGAACTCCATCAAGCTCCTGAACTTGTCCTCCAATGTTCTTCAGGATCCGGGTGACGTTCATCTGTGGTTTGCTTTGGAACAAACACTCCTTGTGTTGCAATGCTCGAGGAGTTTGAACGTAGTTGTTCAAGGGAGGAGGATCTACTTCTTCCTCCTTAGGTGAAATATCAAGCATAAGAGAAGAACTGGAGTGAGGTTGGTGGGGTTAAGTGGTAGGCCCAAAGAAGAGGGAAGGGGGAGGGAGTAATTCCGAATTTAGAGGTCAATTTAATATAGGTTCAGCAATTAGAAGATATCTGAATTAATTCTCTTGCCTAGGTGGCATGCGATTTAAATCAAGAATCAATTTGCATGGATTGAGGTTTAATGGCAGCATTAATTTAGGAGATTAATTGGAGAAATTTGAATTTGAATCTCCAAAAAAAGAGGGAAAGGAGGGAGAGGCACCTTGATGGGTGGCTTCATTGGGAACCCAAGTTGGAAAGGAAATAAGGGAGGAGAGAGAGGGTGGGGCCAACAGCTAAGCTTAGGGGAGTGGATTTAATGAGAGGATTTATGGGTTGCTAGATTCACAACTTTAAAATAGGAAGTGATATTTAAATCAACTCCTATTTAAAATTCAAATAAAACATGAATTGAGAGCTTTCCTAAAATAACTTTCCCTATTTTAGGAAATAAATTTCGAATTTAAAAGACTTCCAAATTTAAGAGGGAATTAATTTAAGAAAGTGCTTGAATGCTAAGTTTGAAAATTTGAATCCAACGAGAGGGAGAAAGATGGTCAGCAGCTAGGGGAGGGGAGGTGGCTAGCCGAGTGGTGAAAAGGGACTGGGTGATTTTCAGCCAAGAGAGAAAGAGGAGGTAGGGGCAGCAGTTAGGAGAAAGGAAGAGAAACCGGCGAAGGATTGGGGCCATCCATGACACTTCCTGTGGCAGGTGAATATTACGTTGCCCTCACCTAGGGACTTCAACTCTCACAAGAACTCTCAAGCTCTCAAACACAAAGTACAGAATTTTCTTTTCACAATAATCCTCATCCTCCAAAAAGGAGAACGGGGATATAAATAGCCAAAATACAATAACTTTAAAGACGAAAGTGGCCCCTGGGGTCACATCAAGTGAGAGTAAAAATGAAAAAAATGCATAAATAAATCAAATAAAAATAATAACTCAAAATAAAGTGGTCCAATCATGGCCGCAGATCTTCGACTTCTTCTCCGATAAAATTTTCACTATCGGATGTCCTCATCAGAATGGTTAAACGAACTATAAATTTTATATGCAAAACAAGAATTCCCTTCATGTTTACACCCATTGATTATTGCCAAATGCCAGCTCCATCACCAACTATTTGACCAGCTAATGACCATCCACAAAAAATTCTTTTCACAAGCAACTGAATCAAGACAATGGATCACCATGTGGTACTTCAATTTGATGGAAAAGAAATTCGAGATCAAAACTTTTTAAATCCATTTGCAAACTCGATAAGTGATAAAATCACAAGCCTATTGTAACAATAGGTTATTCTTAAGAAAGAGAATATTTTAATAGAAAAATCTTAAAGATCCATGGCCATTTTTTGCAAGATCTAAATTTGATTGCTGAGCATTCTAAGAAAATTGTAACTCACATAAACATCTTGTTCATAAACCATCAGTGGTGTTGATTTGTTGATGTCGAGATAAATAAATACATACCAAGTTTGTGCCCAATCATCATCGCTTTTGAAGATGAAAAGAATATAGCCTATACTCCAAGTATTGTTTCGGATAATTTGATCATTGAATTTCTAATATGTCAACTTCATTGCACTCATAGCATCAAACACTTTGAGATGATAACTTTCATTCATTGATTAGAGATATCACCATTCGCAGCCACATCCACTAGCCATTGCTTCAAGTGAATCACCTCATTGCTTGAATCATCCAGTCACTTTTCGATTAGCTAAAAGTGTGCTCTAGTACATACATTGTTGATAAGAACGGATGAATATTCTAGAATAATCTTGATGAAACCAAACTAATCCCCTCAAAATCCATAAATTGGCCACAATTCTACTTATATGTTCACATTCAAATTGAGAGAGCTTGTGCTTGGCAAAAAATTTAAAATGCTGACAAGTTATAGAGCCACTAGACCACCAACCAACGCTCATAGACATGTCAGCCAAGAGGTATGTTGACTGACATCACTCGACTTCTTTATCAACTAGCATTTGTCAACATACAACCCCCAACATTTATCATAATCCACGTTCAAATGTCTACTACCATCTATCTCCAACTAATGCTTTTCGATACACAACTCCCAAGTCCCAACATTCATCGTAATCCAACTTTAAATGCTATTGATGCTCATCTCCAACCATATACCAACATATATCTCCTAACATATGATGTATGTCAACATCTGCCAACCACCGACGTTCAGCATCCACAAGCCAAGTCACCCAATCCCACCTCTAAGGAGAATGGCAATACCTATTGCTTCCTGACGTCCACTATTCACCAATCTCCAATGAAAGATGTAACACAGCATTCCTTGTTGAATTTTAATGTATACCTACAAGGTCATCTGATCCACATTTCTGTAACAAGAAAGTTGACTTAACCACCTCCTAAAATCCAATGATTATAGCCTTAGACATCTACCATTAACAGATGTTAAAACCATCCACTGAGCACCAACATTCAATGTATGTCGGCTAAGCCAAACAGTCCACCTTCTAGTAAAACAAACAACCATGCTGGATATCTTTGGACATCATGACTATCACCTTTCACTTACATTGGATATTAGCAAACCAATGTAAACTAACAATCGCAATCAACCAACGTTCATCTACATCCAACTCTCAACGCCACTCGAAAGCATACACCTAACATCAGTGGCCAATGTCATCAAACATTCATTGACCCCCAATTCCAACCATCTACGGATATCCAATTCCCGAAGCCAATCTTACCCTTTATCAACGCCTGTTCTGACCCTTCATCAACTCCAATTAACCCACAATCCCAAACATTCAAATTCATTGACTAACCAACATCTCCCAACAATTAATTGTCAACATAGTCATGCTTTCACATAAAATATTTGTTGACTAACATCACCTGACTTTCTAGTCAAACAATGTTCAAAATTGCCCAACATTAAAGGTCGGCCATCACCCTTCATTGACACCACCGACTAACGTCAGTCATCCCTCATCAATGTTATTGCCTCCGACAACTGCCTAAGGATATAATCTCCAATTGAATTTTTTACATTGTATTCTCAGACTTCCTCAATTACGGCATACCTTTCAAATTTCAAACCAATGGTCGCCTATTGATAGATATATTCTAATTGAGTAAAGATCTAAGGCTTTTCTCTCTACTAATTTTCTATATGAAAAATCTTTGTTATTGCCTCCGACAACTACCTCAGGATCCAATTAAGTTTTTTACATTGTACTCTCAACTTCCTTGATTATGAAAAAGGGTAAACATTTCAAATTTCAAACCAATGGTCCAATATTGATGGATATATTTTAATTGACCAAAGATCTAAGGCTTTTCTCTCTCTTAATTTTCTATATGAAAAATCTCTACCATATGGACCTACGCAATTTTATCTTTCCTTGCCTTTGTGTAGGTGGAATCCTTATACAAGCTAAGTCCTAACCCTGAATCCATACGCTGCAAATTTTCTAGAACATAACATTTAAAGACGTGTTATTTGATAAACTTTCCTCATAGCCTCTGCATACATAGCGCACAGATAAAGAAACATAAAGAAAAAACAGGCATAAAAAAAGTTAGGTGAAAACCCATGATAAAAATTTAATTATATTGGCATTACATCCTTTAAAAAACTAAGAGAATTATATGCCTTGCATTAACTATGTAGATCATACCTCTTGGCGAGCCAGCTTAAGTTCTGCTTCAAGGGGTGCAAGGATAGCTTCAATGGGAGGCATATCATCATCTTTTTGAGCTGCATGAACCCGTCGAAGTGTAGCTTCTGCTGCAAATTGAGCAGCCATGGATGCCTTCTTCTCATCATTTATTCTCTTGATTTCAAGGTTCTGTGAAGGTAATTAGTATTAAGCACCCCTACAAGCTAAAAAGGAAAATATAAAAGAGAAAGTATACGGAATATTAATAGAGATTTCAATGAAAAACCTTAGACTCCAATAGAGACTCGGTTAACTTAAGCTTCTCATCCACCCTGGTCAACTCTTCTGTAAGCTGAATTAAGAAGATAAGGCATTAACTCACATAGCAAAAAATATAGCAGCACTAGGAAAACAAGTGACAGTAGCATTAAAAATTATGTCAAGGTCCAAGAAAACATGTAAAAAATAGAACCTAATCAAATAATCATGCGGGAATATAATACGCACATTCAAACTATGTTCATTCAAGGAAAAAAAATAGCAGAGCCGAATTTCCAGTAAATAAAATGTGCATTGATATTTGTTATGGAAATTGGAATACTGCCTACAAACAACATTAAACAGAAAAACTTTTTAAAAAAATTTCAGATAGACACCATTGAGATGTATGGATTGACATCATCGTAATAATCTCATCGCAACTATTTGGAGTCAACTTTATGAGTCATCATTCTCTATTTATTCCTGTGGAGTGTATGAGGTGTTTAATCTCTTCTATGCTAAAATCTTTTTACATAACTTCTATCCACAATAACTTCGGTCTGCCCCTTTTTTTCTTTATAATCTTTGCAAAAACTTTATCTAGCACATTGAATATGCATTTTCTACCCTTATTTTGACATGCTCAAACCGCCTATGTTTATTTTCTAATATTTTATCTTCAATAGATGCTACTTCCAACATTCATCCAATATGACCATCTCTTCAATCTATCCCACCTGATTTTTTCGACATATTCATCTTAACATTTGCATCTATATCATGCTCAATGTGGTTATAAAGGCTTTTTTACAGCCCAACACTTCGATTCATACATTATATATGACCTAATTGCAGTTTTAAAATATTTAACTTTGAAGTCTAAATAACATTCTCTTGTAGTACAATTTGAATCTTGATGACTCAAACCTAACAAATATCACATTATAATCCAATTATATTCATTAATAATTTGTAATTTCCCAGCCAATACAGTTATATATCATATACTCAATATTTATTCCCCTAACCCTAGTTCTTTTAGGGTCACAACATTTTCTCCATTTCTTTACTTTTCACCCAAACTCGCCAATTGAGACTATGCCATCTATGAGAAGCATAAGACTAAGGCACCTCACTTGAATGTCCTTCATAAGCATATTCACAATCAGTAAAACAAATTATGAATTTTATGCAAATCCTTAATGTAACCCTACTGTGATTGAAAACTCCTTAGACACACCACAATTACTTCTCATACTAGTCAGTGGTCCATCATACATATCGTTTAAAATTTTTCATACCTTTGACACACCATTTTTTCCTTAATATATGCCAAATAAGTTCTTTTGATACTCGATCAAAAGCCTTAAAAATTAATAAAAAAATCAAAAAAGATCCTTCATCTACTCTCTAAACTTATTTACAAATGCTTCCATGATGGTTCTTTTAATCATAAAATCAAATTGATTCTCTCAAATCAACATAAATTTTCTAAGTTTATGATCAATTATACTCCCCTATAATCTTGTTGCATGCTCATCAGTTATATTCTTTTATAGTTACCAACCACAATCTTGAATCCCTCAAGATATATCTTTCATTTACGAATTGACAGAAATAGAACTTGTATCTCCACAAATATTTATGCATGTATTTAGACTCTAAAACAGGAGATATATTAAAATTAAAAAAACAAAATGAAAATAAGAAGCCTGAAGATCTGCAAAAAAAAATGCAGATAACACTTTAATGTGATGAGATAAAAAAAGGAATTCATCACAATTTATTAGAAAAATAAACTAAGTCAAACCCACAAAACATTACGGCCTTAATTGAAGCGCTGCAACAAAAAGTTAAAACAAAGAATCTTCTACAACAGAATTCAAGAAACATCACAAAAGAAGCATTAGATTGAAAGCGCCAAACTAGGTAAAAGAGAAAGTGTGTAAGTTTCAAGATGACTAATACTTCAATTTTAGAATGTGAGGGGAGATCTTGATAAAGTTGAGTAACCAAAAATCATGTTGTATTAGTTTCTGACAAGTGAATGCATCACACCATTTTCTCAATCAAGTTGAACAAAAGATCCAATAGAACTAGATTCGAAGGCATTCTCTGGTAAATAACAAAAAATAATAAACAAAGAAGGCATGCTTTCAATCACAAAATGGAAGTCAACTGGTGTACATGAGGAATAACATCACTGAAGCCATTTTACAAAATCTTGATCCATAAAAGTGGGGAATATGATGAAAATTTAAGATCGCAGAAAACCTCTTCGACTGCTTTCTCTCTCGCACGCTCTGATAGTTTCAGCGCCTTTATTTCAGCGTGGGCCTCGCCTAATTCCCGGTCTTTATCTGAATAACCAAAAACATGAAAAAAGAAATTCAAAATGTACGTTGAAACGGCCACCACAAATTTTACTGAACTGAGAAAATTTAAAATATCACTAGCAGCCAGTGGATCAAACCGCATTCCCACCTCTAACTTCATTCTCCAGCCTATTGAGCTCTACTTTAATCGGATCAGATCCGTGCAGCAGATTTATGAACTCCTCCGCATCCAGGCTTGGCCTTATCGCGGGCTTCCGTCTCTCTTTCCCTGAAGACTTGCCATCCCCCTTAAACGATGCCGATGCAGCTAGCATGCCAGGGAATGCAAACGGAGGCGCCGGGGTTAACGCCGGAGAAGCTGCATTGCCTCCGATGCTGGCCTCAGGTCTGAATCCCTCCCCTCCCTCGCCACCACACAGATCCGCCATCCCAGATCTGATTATCTTACATCCAAGTGAACAAAAAAACAGCAAAACAAGAGCAAGCGGCAGGAACCAAAATGCCCAACTCCCGTTCCGCTCTAGACCTAGGTTTCCTCCCTTTGATCATTAAATTGCTTTCCTCCGAAGCTTTCAATTCGTAAACTAATAAAGAAGCAAGGTCTTGAACAAACCCTAGTTTCCTCCTGCCCTCACTCGATCTGCCTCCATCTATTATATTGTAACCCGAAATGCTTAATGGGTTTCAGTGGAATAGAAGGGCTGTTTTAAGTGAAAAAAAAAAAAGCGAAGAAGAAAATAATTATAATTTCAAGAACAGAGAGAGTAGATAGCCATGGCTGCATGGTAAAGCGGACTTTACCTCGAGCTGAAGTATGATTTAGCTGTCCCCACCATTCTCAGTAAGGTTACCTCCAATTTCCCAAGTCCAGGGTCCTTCAACTAGATGAAAGACTGTGAGCGGTCAGTGTACCGACGGTTTAAGCATGAGCATTATATCGGATGAGGGAACTAGAACAGCACGCAGATAGTTATGCCGATTTGAAAACCGGATCTGCCACGTGTCTCGTAGAGCGTTTTCGGATGCGGAGGCGATCAGGACCGTCAGACACTGTAACGTCAATTCATTGGCATTCGTTTTCCCGGATTTGCCTAAAGACGCGACGGTTTTTTTTTTTTTAAGTAAATATGATTAAATAACATAGCCTGGTAGGGGTATCAATTTTTGTCACGATCCGAAACACAATCCGAACCTGACCCAAAAAAATTCGGGTTCGGGTTCGGGTTGAACAAATCAACCCATTTTAAAAATTGGTCGGGTTCGGGTTGACCCAGCAACCCAAAATTGACCCAAAAGTGACACGAAAACTCATATTTGATCCAAAAACCTGAGATTGATCCGTTGTTTACCCGATTTTGACTTGAAAAACGAATATTGACCCGATTTTCGACCCGAAAATTAGCAATTTTAGGTCAACTTCGGGTCATTCGTATCGGGTCGGGTTCGTGTTGACCCAAATAGTGCCGAGTCAGTTCCGAATTCGACCCGAACCCGACCCGCTGACCCGAATTGGCACCCCTAGCCTGGGGGCAAAATACATCTTAATAGTCGAGCCTAACTACTATTATCTATAAAGTTGATCATGACAAGTAGGGACAATTTTTTAATATAAATTATTGATCAGCTAATCAACTATTTAATTATCAAGTTGATGACTTCTTCAAAGATTAACACACTAATTCATCCAATCAAATATCCCAAATCTAACTATACAATTATTGTATTTTCTCTTATTTCATATATAGTTGCGTATTGAGGTATACAACTAATATTGTAATACTCAAACCCTAACCTCAATCTATAAATAGGAGGTTAAAGGGGAGTTATTGACAGAATCTTCTCAATTTATCTCTAAGACTCCATTCTCTATCATTAAACCTGTTTTTATTGAAATCTCAAAATTTCTCACTCTAGAGTTCTTCTCTTTCTACTTTTTAAATGTGAGAGCTCGTTTCTTTGATTTCCTTCCAGGATCGTCCGGGCCGATTTTGGATCGTCCTGGGACGATCAGTGCATGGCAAAAGTCAATGAGCAAGGGTTTTTATCGTCCAAGAAAATTAATTATCGTCCTGAGATATCGTCCTGGACGATTGAATTTTATTCATATCGTCCTAGACGATGTGGCGATCGGCCGGGCCTATCAGGTTTGTTTTAAAAGAAAATCAACTCGATTTGATGAGAGAGAAAATCATTTTTTATAAAAAAAATATGAGGAGAGAGAAGGAGAAGGAAAGCAAAGGAAAAGCTGGATTTCAGAGGCCGCGGAGCGCTTTTCGTCCTACGCTGCTGTTTGGAGAAGTGTTTATCTCGCAGTAAGGACTCCGAATCCTATTTCTGTTTTTGAATATGTTAAGTTTTGATAATTTTGTGCTCAGATTTGTGTTTTTGTTATCGAAAAACGCACACCGTTTTGTATTGACGAAAGTTTCACCGAACAACTTTTGGTATGTTATTGGTATAGTATTTCTGCACGTTTTGATTATTTTCTGGAGAATTTCGACCGGTTAGTTTTGAATTCCGCGGTTGGTTTGTTGACTGTAAATTTATATTGATGTCGGAATTTGCTTGAGCCAGTAGAATTAAAAGTTCTTTATATTGTTGTTGTAGCAAGTTCTGTATTAATTGGTAATTTCAAATTTTAGGAATTTTTGTGTAAATTCCGTATACTGCCGTTATGCCGCTGATTTTTCGTACGATTTTTGATTTCTGAAATTGATGATTTGAATGCATACGATTGTGACTATCTGATTATTATTACTGAAAGACAAGTGAAGACTGGTTGAACCGTTGGTTGGAGATCGACTTGACCTGTACAGGATGGTGGGCTGACGGCTTTCCTTAAAAAGGGTTGGCGATATCCTCTATTGATCATTGATATAACGATTGGAGGCATAAGGAGATTCTTATCCGACGGCACAGATGACGACTCTTATTGACCAACGGATAGATATAATTATGGATGTCTACAACAGCACTATGGATTGAAAACGCCTTTATAGCCAGTTGATTGTACTTGTTCAGTAAGACTATTGTATTGAAATGCATGTGTACGATATTGACATGTTGTATCTCGTGATGAATTTATTGATTTTGAATGGATTTACGGACGGATTAACGGATTTATTCTACTGTACGATTTCATTGATAATTCGCATTGTGCCATGTTACATTGATTCATTGATTATTGATATTGATATTGATATGGATATCGATATTGCATTGACTTATTGATACTATGGACATGGATACTATTGATTCATTGTTACTATCGTTTCATTGATACACCGTATTGAACTGTGCATGTAATTCATTTGATGATAATGCGCCGGGCGCGGAAAAAAACCCCCCGCCCCCCACTTCCTCAGGTCACCTTTTCTTTTTTTTTCAAACCCCTTGAATGCCCCCTACAAAAATGCCGGCCCGCCGGCCTCATAAAAGGTTCGTCTGGCGGGCTCCCCCCCCCCCATGCCTCCTTTCGTTTTTGTATTCAAAATTTCCTTCCTCTAATTCAAAAAAAAAAAAAAACCCCCGGGGGCGGGGGCGGGGCGGCCACGTATTGATGTTTTTGCCCATAGAAGATTGAATGGTTTGATCGATTTATGATATTATCGAAGACGATGATTTTCTTTCTATTGATTTTGATTGGATTCTTGCGGAGAAGTATTCGTATTTACTGGTTTATTGAGCTTTATGGATTTCTTTCTACTGTTTATTGATTCTCCTATCGCTGACTATGGATTTTATCGATTGCGCATTGACTACTGATTTTCGTATCTACATAGATTCATTGATCATGTGCAATTGACTGTTATGGATTCGCTTGATTGACATGCATATTGTTTTCCAGTACCGTGCTTTGATTTCAGTTATAGGTATTAGGTGACCTGCTGGGATTTTTGAAGCTCCTTATATGTGGTTAATATTTTCAGGTCAGAGCATGGGAGCAGGAATGAAGATTGATCGAGACTGTCAGACGAATCCTTTCACTATGGATGCCTGAGGCGTCACATTAAATCTCTTTTTCGCTCAACTTTTTGCATAATTGGGTGTGTTTCATGAATAATTATAGATTCAACTTTATAAAATGTATAGTGAGGGTGGAGCATGTTAGTAACAAGAATATGAGTACAACATGAAATTGAATACTATCAAAGAAGAAGCGAAGAATCCAACAATATGAAAAATCATGAGTAAGTGACTATTTACAACTCGCTAAATTTGAGGAGATGATGACTTGAATGATTCATGAAGCACTGTAAAGAATTCTAAGAACCATTCTTAAAGTGAAATTGATTTTATACATCCTTTGATTATGTTGTAAGCAAGAAAATACTTTCCAAAGTTCGAGCGTTGACCCCTACCTAATTATTGATAAAAACTTACTACCAAAATAGTGACGGGTTGACTTCGACTCTTTGTTATGAAGAAAGGAGCTTTGAAAAGATGATGTTACCACTTGTTTGTGCCTTCTTTAGGAATATTTAAGGGTTCAAATCTCTAGCAAAATTCAAATTTCCCTTTATCTAAATTTCTACAAAGGAATGATAGATCCCACATACCACATGACATACTTTTATTCTACTATCTCTCTGCTAGATATCCACGATGCATTGAAATGCATACTATTCATTACTCTCTTTAAAAACTCAACTCTGAGGCAGTTCTTACTTCTACCACGGGGTGTCATTACTTCCTTTGTTAGTTAAAAATAATATTTTCTGATGCAATTTGTTAGTACGCAAAGGTTGTTGAAGAACTCTCAACCCTACTACAAATAAGGCAAGAGCCAAGTGAATCATTAAGGAGTTTCATCATTTAATTTCAAAAGAATATGCATTATGTGAATGATTTAGAGTCAGCTAACACCCAAGATCTAAGTGATCAACTTTTTCAGTATGCTCTCAACTTACAACAACTAAGTACTTTATCCAAATTGCTTAAACTCATTAATAGTCATAAAAAATGCTAAAGAATATAATATAATGATTAACACATCCACTATAATAAGCAGAATATAAATATACCATTAAGGAGGGAAATTTCAAAATTTTTATAGGGAACATAAAAGTTTCCATAGGATTCAATGCTTGAGAGGAGAAATTATCATGATTAGAGAAGTTTCACATATCATCCAAGAATTAGCCCATATGATGGATGAGTACAAAATGAAGAACGACACAATGATCACTATGGCAAGAGTCCGTTGTTGCCTCTTATTTGCTACTATTTGACTATGACTCTATTGTGAGTCTCTATAGTCAGGTTAGTTGAGACAATGCGGAATAAGGACTTCTTCAAAGGGCTAGTGCCCATGAGAATCACTCGTCACCTATGAGATGAATTGAAGTACTACACCTAACATTGCAACAATGGAAATAACGCTAAGGATTATTAGTGTACTTGTGGAGTTTGGTCAAGGAAATCATCAAAGAATGCAAATTTAAAGGTTTTTCTCTTACTCATGTAGTACAACGACCAAGAAAGACTCCAGTGGAGAAGACCTGCAACGAAATAGTCCAGACACAAGCAATCCACATCATTGGGGAGGATCCCACCAACCATGGAGAAGTTGATGAAGAGGCTTCTCTTTAAGCAAGCCTCAAATGACTTATGTCAAGAGAGGTAAACTCTCTGAGTGCATTGAGGGTACCTACTATTAAGGTTCACCCAATAATCTTCACTAAAATTGATCGACATGAAAATGGTAATCTATAAAACAATGCAATATTCATTCAAACACTCATAATTAATTATTAGATCGTCAAC